CCCGCCCAGCGGCGGCCCCCCCAGCCCGCCTGCTCCCGGCGCTCACAGATGGGGATGGCGGACACGATGAAGGCGTTCCCAAAGAAGAGCGCGGAGGACTTGGCCGAGAGGTTGCGACTGAAGTCCTGCAGGAGCAGGTCCTCTTCGGACTGCTGCTTGGAGCCGCCTTTGGGAGCCATGGTGGAGCAGCAGCCACGACCGAGGAGGGCCCAGCCGGGCGGGAGGCCGGGCAGAGGCCTCTGGCTCCGCCCCGGCGGCCGCCTAATCCGCGAACGACTCGTCAGCCCTGGGCGCGGAGGCGGGACCCGCGCTGCGCGGAGCAAGCTTCGCCGGGATTGGCCAGCCTGGCGCGGCTCCCAGGCTTCCCGGCGTGATTGGGCGAGCGGCTGGACTTCCGCCTTCCTGGAAAGCCTTTTGATTCGTAGGCTTCCAGAAGCAGCCTGGGATTTGTAGTTTAGTGAGTGCTTTTCAAAAAAAAATTTAACAAAACTTTATTGACTCTCCACGCCGCAGCTTCCCTTAGATGCTCTCCTGGAATTCCGAAGTAAGAACTTCTGGCCTCTTTTCACCATAATAAAGGGCTGCCTTTGTAGGAAAAAGAAGGTACTTTTGGTTTTAAGAAACTCATGGTCTCATTAATATTTAATATGTGTCTAATACATTTACAAATTACTACTATTTTGTTATTTTTATTTCAACTAAATCGTTAAATTAAGCATAATACTAAGTAAAGGCAACATGTTGGCTGTACAGGCCTTCTCTGAAGCTCAGAAAATTAAATATGCCTACTAAAACAACTAGATACCATTTTTTAACCCATCAAATTACCACTTTTTCTTCAAAAAATAATGCTCAACTACTTCACCCTCAGCAAAAGCTTCTTTCACCTGCATTACTGACATCAGATAAAACTCCCTCAGCCTCCGGCTTCCCTATCTGACTTGTAAATCTTTCTCCCTCACCCTATCCAAATTGTAATCTACCTCTACAGCATTCGTTCTCGCGGCATCGTCTTCAGCCTTTCCCAATCTATCCTCTACACAGGTGCCACAGTGAGTTTTCCTGGGCTACGAATCCTCCCATTATCTATCTACAGCAAGTATCCCAAATGCCAAAAGTTTTCACCAATTCACTGCAAAATGAGAAAGGAAAAGTACAGTAGTGAATTTTTCAGAAAACTAAATGTGTTCATTTTTAAATATCTGCACTTGTGTCCCTTTCTCATAGTAAAAGTCTTTTTCTTTTATTATGTTATGATGGTGATAGTAGAAGAAACTCTTCTTTTCTCTTCCAATATACTCCTCTCTCAGTTGTTCCTGTCTTAATAAATCACTCCCCTTTTCACCCATTTTCTTTGGCTTAATACTAGGTTTCAGCACTAATTCTGTTCTTTCCCTCTCCAACTATGACCAATGCATCAGTAAAAAATTCTTGGCCCTGTCTCTATAACCAGATTTCCTGCTTGCTATTTGTAAAATAAGTATATAAAAAGAAGATGAGAGATAAATCAGAAAACTATAAGATCAAAAGGGACAAAAATCATCAGGATATTTAAAAGAAAATAGTAAGAAAATAAGAAACAATAATGGTTAAAAAGAATTATACCTAAGAAAAATATTTAAACAGTTAAATGGAAAAGAAAAGGTGTGAACTGTTACATAAATAAAAATGTTAAAATTGAAGTGACCAAAAGGAGCTAGGTGAGAAAAATTAATATACTTTGTAAACCAAGAATGAAAACCTAAGATAATAAATATAAACAGAGGAGAATCTAAAATAGTAGAAACAGAATTTTTATAGGGTTAAGTTAAAGAAATAGGATAAGCAATGGTGCTCATGACAAGGTATTATGGTGATGAGAGTGAAGATTATGAAGGTAGCACACTTGAAGTACTGGAGCGGTGTTTTCTTATACCAAATGTTATCTAGTTCCTTTTGAAGAACAGCAAGATCTAAGGGTGATTTATATATGGTATATATGGTCATGGCACATGGAACAAGCAAAGTAAATGACGTGCTAAAAAGCAAAAGGAAGGATAAGAACTAGATTCTATCCAAACAAAGATCTGCAGTGTATTTTGGCTATTTCAAGGTAGGTCAACTTTATGAAGGTACCAGATGGACTTAATTCCATATCAGCCTGTTTCTAATCTGTGAATTTCAGGCTTAACATTTCCATTATATCACTTTACACTTATCAGATTGTTGAGGGAGGTGAAGAGAGAGAGAGAGAAAGGAGAGAGAGAGAATTTAAAGCAATATTTGTTGCTGACAGGGTTATAGATAACAAATTTCTCTCCACTGCTGATGGCTTTGCGGAAGAAAACCTGGCAAGTTAAAAATTAATATATCTTTCTGTAGCAGGCACTGCAAGTTGCCTAGACAATAAAGAAAAAAAACACTGCTAGCTCTTCACTGAGACCTTATGGAGAGTACCAAATAAATCATCCAGGGCTACAGGGATAGAGGGGGAGCTTCTGTTATAAATCCCATTTGAACTGCAAATCTCATTATGGAAATAAATTTTGTAAGAAAAGATAAAACACTTATATTAGCCTCTAGGTGTAATATTTTAAAGTCCTACCTGAAAGACAATTTACTCTGTCAAACTACATATTTCAGGCACTGGTGTATCATTAATTCATTGGTTCACACTTTATACAAATATTTATTGAAACTTTACTACCTGAAAGGTACTATGCTAGACCCTTGGAAGTATCCAAATAACAATCATGATAATTGTGATTATAATAACCAACGTTTACTGAGTCTTTGTTATATGTCTAGCTCTATGCTTGCCCCTTCGCATACATCATCTAATTATTCCTTACAGCAACACTTAGTGTTATTATTATCTCCATTTGTTCAGTGAAGAAACTGAGGAACAGATTAGTAAAGTGTTGATGATAGAAGTCCAAACCTATAGAAAAATTTTACAAGAGTTAATTTGAACCAAACTGAGAAAAAGCCCAGAAGCAAGATCTCAAAGTATTGAGAAAATGCTCCAGAGAATGGCAGTTTTGCAGTTCTCTTTATACATTTAGAGTCAAAGGATAAAAATGTAAGGAAGGCCACATGAAATCCATTGGTGGCAGATTAAGGAGGCAAGAGAAAGCAAGGCAGGGGAAATTTGTGGGAATGGATTAAAAGTAAAATGGAGAGATACATATTTCTTTTATATGTGGGTACAGGATAGTTAACATTTAACATTTATAGTAAATCAAGTTGGTATTCTGGCAACAGGACAACAATAAGGAATTTCAGGATCCTGGTGCTCTGATTATGCCTACAAGGGATTTGGAAAAGAAGGATGACTCCAGCATTTGAAAGGTGTGTCATCCTGGATGCATAAGAACAATGGACAGAGCTGGCTTAAGGTAAGGATTAACTTTTTACTAAGGAAACTGTAGGCCTGGGACCTGACTACCCACCAGGACTTGCCTAGTTAGGAATTTATGATCAAATCACCCTGAGTGGTTACTTTTGGTAGCTGCGCTTGTCAGGCCTGCCATGTAGCCGGCCCCTTTTTCATTCACAATAATAACTCATCTAAGATCCCACAGCCAGTAAGAAGTAGAGTCAAGTTTGAACCAGAGGCACTATGACTGGGACATATACTCTTAACTTCTGTCCCCAAGGACTTTGGGGGCCCAGTTTGTGGCTGTGTTCTGATTCACCAACCTGGAAGCTCTCTGAACCCCCTCCTTTTGGTTTTTATAGAGGCTCAGTTACATAGACACAACTGATTAAATTACTGGCCATTAGAGATTCATTCAACCTCCAGCCCCTCTCCTCCTCTGGGATGTCAGGGGGTGGGACTGAAAGTTTCAACCCTCTAATCCTGATTGGTTCCCCTGACAAAGAGGCCCCATCCTTAAATTACCTAGCTGCTTTCCAAAAGTCACCTCATTAACATAACAAAAGACATCTTTATGTTCTTAACACTTAGGAAATCCCAAGAGTTTTAGGTGCTCTGCAGAAAAAAGCAGACCAAAACCAAATCTCTATTTCTTTTTATAAATCGCAATACCACAGGTGTAATGAAAAAATTCCTTACCATTTCAGGAAGAAATGTGCCCTTTTGCAGAGAATGCTGCAGCATGCTGGCCTTAGACTTGGTCAGGCCCTCTCTCTCACCAAACACATGCCCCACCATTTGTAGGAGATGTTTGTTAGCTTGGTTATTTTTTTATAAAGATATAAGGTCTTGAGAATTCTACATGCCAACTTTATTGTGGAATTGAATTTTAAACCAAATGAGGCATTAAAACCAAATGAGGGACAAGCATTTGTCTTTGATCTTGAAGTTTATGTGTTCCAAGATAAATATTGTTTTCCTTTTTAGGAAAGGATGATTTGATCCACGTTAACTGGTTACTGCTTCTGAAATAGTCAGAAAAGCTGCTTCTGTTGTGCCTAAGGATATTCATAAAGTCACTTACTTTTTTAAGGAAATGATACACATCTACAGAAAATATATTATCTTAATAACCACTGATAGAGGCAATAATACTTTAATTCTCAAAACTCCCCGTGGTATCATCTAAATATGAGACTTATCACACATGCATCATCCATACAGCACTGCAGGGCACAATAAAAATTAAGATTTGAACTGGAAATCAATCTTCTTTAGTTTCACGGTTAACCTAAGCACTATGGCAACAGACTATAAGATAAAGTAGGTCATGGATTTCAGCTGGAATGGCTTAGATGACACAAAAGCTCAATTGTAATTTGTCACCCATCTTTTAGAAGTCTTTATTTAAAATTTTTTTCACTTAAAAATTCTTCTACTTCACATGCCCCAACAATAACTAAGTAGATAAAAATCATAAGAACAAATTATTAAATGAGATTTATTCAGTCTCAGTCTTTATTTCATTTGGCTTACCAATTAACTAGCAGTGTCCATCACCATACATCTTACATATGGACAAGGAAGGAAGTTCTAGGTAAAAGGAATAGCTATATGGGTGCAGTCATACAAAGGTACAGTATATAATTTGAGATCATTTAGGGGACCATCAAAACCAGACACAATACAAGGATAAAGAATAGAAAGGTATGCTTCTGTCACTAAGGTCAATGAAATCATCAGTGGTTTCCTAGGAACCCAGTTGGACACCTACCCCCACTACCTAGGCTATTTTTTATCCAGAAAATAAAGTGAAATTAAGTTGTAATCCCCTCTACAGTATTTTCTGATTCCATCTTCCTTTGCCTTTGGGGTAGATATGTCCCTCTGTAAGTTGAGCTTTTTCGACAATTATTTTAAAAACCCTTGATCCCAACAATAAACATCAAGAAATAGTGCAGACTCAGATCATGATCAAAGAAAACGTTTCTGAAACTTTTCCTTTACCACCCTTTGCAAGGGTTTCACCGATTCTCAACTAAGAAGGCGTTAGAATTAATACAAAAATCATGGTGTATATTACCACGGTTTGTCACATACATACTGGTTAACAGCATATGCCCCACAGGAAAATTGCCTTGGTTCAAATTCCACTTCTACCACTTATTGGTTGTGTGAAACTGGGAAAGGTATTTTATCTCTAAGATTCTGTTTTGCTAATTTTTTTTTAATTGAGTCATTTTTTTTTTTTTTTTGTATCTTTATTGATTTCAGAGAGAGGAAGAGAGGAGAGAGAGAGAGAGAAACATCAATGATAAAGAGAGTCACTGATCGGCTGCCTCCTGCACAACCCCCCAGAAGGGACTGAGCCGGCAACCGGGCGCGTGCCCCAACCCCAAACGNTTTTTTTTTAATTGATTTTTTTTTTTTTTTTTTTTTGTATCTTTATTGATTTCAGAGAGAGGAAGAGAGGAGAGAGAGAGAGAGAAACATCAATGATAAAGAGAGTCACTGATCGGCTGCCTCCTGCACAACCCCCCAGAAGGGACTGAGCCGGCAACCGGGCGCGTGCCCCAACCCCAAACGGAACCTCCATCTCCTGGGTCACAGGTCGATGCTCAACCGCTGAGCCACACATGCCAGCCGGGCTGTTTTGCTAATCTTTTAATCAGGGGAAATGATGATACTTTTTTCATAGGGATTTTGAAAAGATTAAATGAGAAAATATACATAAAGTATTTAGCACAGTGCAGGACAGGTGGTTTGCATTCAAAATATGTTATGTAAATATTTTTCTTTTGCTATATTTCCAGATTTACCTCCTCCATTTCTGAGAAATTCTGCTTTAATTATTTGTAAATAAACAGACTGTGTGTTTGTATATATGTGTGTGTGTGTGTGTGTGTGTATGTAAAGCTAAATTGGGAAATAAAGCAGGGGAATTTGTCTATAAGAGGACAGATTTACCTTTGTTGAAGGTTTTTACAAGGCTTTAGTCCCTGCCCAGAATAGAAATGGACCCCCATCTACTGCCTCCTCCAGAAAAGACAGAGGGGACTTCAGCCCCTAACCTGACGAAGGAGGAAAGGTGTCAAGTAGCCTCAACCAAAGGGGTGGGAGTGAGGCAGAGTTGCTATTTCAAACCTCTTCTCCACCACAATAACATTTGACTGTTGTATAATGATTATGAAAGAATAATTCCGATCCTTAAAGTTGGAAAACACAAACACATATAAAAAAGAGAGCAAAATTAACCGTGATCTCACAACTCAGAGGTAACTTTAATTAATATTTTGAAGCAATTTCTTTAGTCATTTCTTATGCATCTATTTGCACATCTGTAATTAACATAATATATATAGTTTTGTCTACCTTCCCAATTGTTCTATTATGAGCATTTTTCAATGTCACTGAAATGTCTTCAAAACATTCTTTCTAATGACTACAAAATTGTCCTTTGGATGAATGTACTACAATTTATATATTATGTTAATAACCCATATTATTTTCTAATCAGAAAATAATTGAATGTCCATTTATAAAATTAGAAAATGTAATATATAAATCACTCATAATCTTATCCTCAGATTATTACCACTGTTTGTATTTTGATATATTTCCTTCCATGACTAGCTATTCCGTACTTAAAATAATTAAGATCATATATTACAAGTATTTTGCCATGTCATTAAAAAATGCTTTCAAAACAATTTTTGGTGCCTGTAAAATGTTTCATAATATACGTGTGATCTCACTCTTTTACTGGAGAGAGGAAAGAAATTTCTAGCCAATAAGAACAGAAAACGTCCAGAAAGAGAGGAAAGGTTTGTATCAAGCCATGCCCCCTAAGTCAAGAGGTTCTTTAGAAACAGAGTCCAGACTTGCTTGGCATGCAAAACCAAGTGGTTCTTTACAAAAGCCAGATCACCAAACTCAGGAAGGGGAACTGTTTGAGTTAGAACTCCTTCAGTTACAAGTGACAGAGCCCTTTCTCAAACAAGCTTAAGAAAAACTCAACCACAGGAAAAAAAATTTTAAATAGAGATAAGAAGGAAAGGAGGGAAAGAGGAGGGGAGAGAAGAAGAAAGGGAGACATTTATTAACTAAGGTAAAAAAAGTTTCATCATTACAGAATCGGAGGCTCAGACAATGTCTTTAGGGCTTTCTTACTTGTCATCTTTCATTCCTGTTCTCTGTGTTGGCATCATTGTTTCCAATGTGGATAATATGGATATTGTCTTGGAAGAAAGGTGACTCTCTGGCTTACAGTTTGTTTGTAAATTAACAAGTGTGTGTGTGTGTGTGTGTGTGTGTAGCTAAACTAGGATATAAAGCAGGGGAACTTGGCTATAAGAAGGCCGAGTCACCCCTGGTGAAGGTTTTGACAAGGCCTCAGTGTCTGCCCAGAATAGAAATGGACCCCCATTCACTCCCTCCTCCAGAAAAGACAGAGGGGGCCTTAGCCCCTGACCTGAGGAGGGAGGAAGGTGTCAAGTAGCCTCTATCAAAGGGGTGGGAGTGAGATAGAGTAGTCTTTTTTCACATACAAGTCAGAGGGAAGGAACAACACATCCCAGAGGACCCTACAGGCTCTGCTCCGTGGGAAGGAGGAGGGCTGGGGTGGGGAACGGGCAGAGTGTTCTCCAGAATCCTAGAGCAGCCCGGCAGAGCTGGCAGTTAGGGCCAGGCGTCCTGACAGTCACTCACCTACAGCTGGGAGAAGAGCATGGAGGAGAGGAGGAGGTGGAGAGCATGGACCAGAGTGAGTAGGAGGGATTCTTAGCCCCCTCCCCCCCTTGAACACAGAGCTTTGGAGAAAAGAACTCTGGCCAAGGAGGATTTCTGGGGTGCTTTCTGTAAGGTGCCACGAGTCTAGTCTGGCTCTTTAAAAACACCGAGAACAAAGACATGCATTAACCTTCAAGGCTTCCAAAGACAGACTCATGTTTCTTTTCAATGTGACTCTGTACAGAGACTGGGCCACATGAAACCTGCAAATAACTTCTAAAGTAAGCCCAATGTGAATCGCCATAGTCTCCTTAGAAAGAGGCACTCGCTGTCTTGCACAGGGTCTGCAGAATGTGCTCCCTCCGCTTCTCCTCTGCTCCTCCACCCAAATGTCTAATGTCTAGTTTATGATAGGATTGTCTTACCACGTAGTTGTGGGAAAGGTACTCCAAAGTCCTTGTGGTTTGCCTCTGCTCTGTAATTTTCTTTCCCCCTCTCACCACGGTCTCCCAGCTGATTAGTTATCACTGTGGCGAGGCCTTGCGTTACTTGTACAGCCGGGGTTAAGAAACACCGATGTGGCCGCCCATCCCTCCGGCTGCCCGCACTTGTCCTCATTCCCCGTCCGACTTGCCTTGCCTTTCTCTGCCCCCCATTCCTGCCTCTGCCAGTGTAACCTGCTTCCCCACCCTTCACTCCCCGCTGCCCTCCGCCGCGTCAAGGTCACTGAAGAGCTCATCGCTAAATCCGCTTTCTGATCGGGCGGTGTTGACCCTGTTTACCATCGCTTCCTTCCCCTCCTCCTTCTTCTTTAATATGTTTTGATTGACTTCAGAGAGAGGGAGAGGGAGAGAGAGATAGAAGCATCAATGATGAGAGAGAGTCATAGATCCTCCGCCTCCTGCACGCCCCTCACTGGGATAGAGCCCACAAGCCAGGCAGGTGCCCTGGCTGGGAATCAAACTGTGACCTCCTGGTTCATGGGTTGATGCTCAACCGCTGAGCCACGCCGGCTGGGCCATCACCTCTTTCTTGAAGCCTTCTGTTCCCTTGGCTCCACACACTGCCCGCTCCTAGCCTTCTCCTTACCCCCCTTGCCCTCACCTTCTCCCCAGGCCTCCCCTCCTTGGTTCCATCCTTATTTTTCTCTCTGCCCAATCTCGTTGGGAAATCTTATCTGCCCTCTTGGCTTTCATTGCTCTCCAAATGCTGATGACTTCCAAAGGGCCTGCACAGCTTTCCTGGACACCTCTGTATCCCGCTGTCTCCTGCACAGCTCCTGTCGGACCTCTCAGTAGCACCCTCAAATTCAGTGCTAAGGTTTAACTCTTTATCTCACCTCACACTCACACTTTGCTTCATTGTTTCCTATTTCAATTTACTTCCAGTTGCCCAAGTAACTTGGGCATTGTCCTTGCTCTTGCAAACCATTCATCCAGTGAATCAAGACCAATTTGCCTTATCTCCTAAGTAATTTTAATTTAGTTTTCTTTTTAAATGTTAGCCCTCTAGGGGTCCTTCCCTGATCCCTAGACGAGCTATGGCTTCCTGCTGCATGCTTTGAAAGCATGCAACGCTTGTCCTCGCACAACTCATTAAAACCTATAGTAACTGCCTACTGTCTGACTTCCCCCTGAAACTAAGGTGCTAGGGCCTTGGAGCAACACAGTCTTTATCCTCAAGGACCTTAGAGTATAGAAAAGAATATTGATAATTGTAATAGATAACAGAAAAATGCACAGGTATGTGTAAGGTTCTCACTATTCTGTGAAAAGATTGCTTGAGCAATGACTAATTATAGATGGCATGAGGGGACAGGCTGAAGAAGTGTCGTGCAGTAGGTGGGTTCCCCCTATTTTAGTCTTGCACCTCATAAATAAGTAGATCTGCTGAGCCAACTAGATGTGAATTCTTTGGGGGCGAATATAATAAATTGTATGTATCTTCATTTAGAATGCTGACTCTACTAGTTAACAATAGTGTATTGTATATTTGAAAGTTGTTGAGCGAGTAGATCTTAAAAGTTCCACCACAAGAAAAAAATATTTAACTATGTGTGGTGATGGGTGTTAACTAGATTTATTGCGGTGATCATTCTGCAGTATGTACATATAGTAAATCATTATGTTGTATGCCTAACATTAATACAGTATTATATGTTAATTATATTTCAATTTTTAAAAAAGGGAAGAAAAAAGAAATGCTGACTAATTCTGGAAGCCCTAAAACCTAAATATGGTCTGAAAAATCTAAGCATTTTAATTCTATAAACTAGTCTGAAATAAAAAAATCTTAAAAAAAGACTTCGCATGCCTGTTGCAAGATCCATTATATGTTTATAAATACTATGTGCATATTAAATATTTGAAAATGTATCATAGTTTTGTAGTACTTGCACCCAAATTTTACTCACTTTCACTTCCTAAAAAGAATCATACAGCTGTTAGTTAAGGAAGCCCACTCTTTGGTTCTCTTGCACCATATCAGCTAAGGACATCGTGGTTCATATGTGGTGGAAGGCATGGAAAGAAGATCAGATTTGGTGGTGATGATGCTGCATGAATTCTACGACTTTTCAGAGGCTTGTTTCCAAAGGGAACAATGAAAAAAAAAAAGTAAAGTTATAAAAGTTGTTTTTCTTACACTTTTTATTAAACTACGGTTTTTGAAATTTAAAATAAGTTCTATTACCAGTTCTTCGAAAAGCAGTTTTTCCATAAGACTCCTATGTGGGCTTTTAGGAATTCCTGGGGTTAATAATTTGTCTCAGTGCCAAACCCCTGGCTTCATTTTCCTTCGCCCATCTGCACACTTAGCATGCACAGGGCTGTTGGTGTGCATATGTATCCAGGCCTTTGCATATGGAATGAGGGTGCTTTCAAAAGCAGGCCCATAAAAGTTTTAAAGGGGGCAGTGAGTACTTGGAGGGGGTCCAGGAGCACAGTGCAGATGAGCTGCTGCGATGGGGTGTGAGGGGAGGTCACAGCTCTCATCAGGCTGCCTTTGCTCGGATCCTCTGTGCTCTTGAATGGATGGCACTGGCTCTGTGCATTTACTATTTATGAGGGGCTTTCACACGGCACTAAGTATGAAATTCATGGAGGAAAATGCAAGGCTATTTTTAATGAATGCAGAATAATGCCAGCTCTCCTTTGTTTGCA